GATACCCCATTCTGAGTCGTAAAGAATAGCACTGCTATTTTGAGAACTGCAGGTAGTTCACCCCAATTGGAAAATGTTCTAATGAGGGAAATGCAACAGTGAGGGCTGAGAAGTGACAGCTGAACAGAGGGGCTATGTGGGTCATGGTGCAGCTTAGACTGCATCCTTTAGGCAATGGAGGCCACTGCAGGGTCTTAGAAATGAGATGCTAAGGTTGTTTGGAGAAGGCAGCCCTGGCCACCTTCTGGAGAACCAGGTCAGGAAGAGAGGCAGGTAGGGGAGCTTTATCAGATTCTTTCTAGAAACAGGTCGATTGTACAAAATGGAGGTTCATTTCTTACCTGTCCGTCCAAGATACAAAAGAGAGGTTGATGGGCAGAGACTATCTGCAAAGGCCGATGACAAAGTCTGCTGCTTCTCACCAGTCAAGAGGTCGATGACATACCAAATGTCCTGCTTTTTACCTAAAGGTCACAGGATACTCTGTCATTTACACTTATTCTATACAGAAAAAATTATCACTGCTTAAGTAGTTGTTCTAGATATTCTACTCTATGAATGAAATTCTTATAATGTTGAAGACATTTCTATGATATTTTGAAGGTGATAAACTAAATGGTAATGTGGAGATAACTTCTTAGGCCACTGGGTCTTATAATCACTTAACAATCTGATCATCGGCACACAAATTTCTCCAAATGCAATAACTAAGTTATAGTAAAAAAAATTCTCCTAACTTTCAAGTTAGATTTTATTGCTTGATTAATGGCCTTTAATGAAAACTCTGGCCTGTAAAGAACAATCCTTTTCCCGCAGACAAGGAGCCAAATACTAAAGAAATGTACTCAGGTGTTCATCCCCTTGATAACCATAATTCATATTTCTTAACATCCCTAGTAATTAAGCCACATGTGAAGAGGATCTATAGTTACTGTTTCTAACTATAATTAGCTAGTACCTGTGACTGGTCAGTAGTGCTAATTGTAACCTGATGCTAATGAGGCCAAAGTTACCTCAGCTTCCCCCTGGGTCAGTAAGTTATTCCCAGGCCATAGGTCATACCCCTCGCCTTGGTCAGCTGATTAAAAGATATGAACAGGTGAACAGCACAGCCAAACACCAGTATGAGGGAAACCCAAGGCATTCGTATCTGTGCTATTCACACCAGGGCATCCTAGGAATGGTGAGGCAGTGCGTGGGCCTCTGGTTTGAAGGTCAACATATTCACAGAAGCTATGACCTCAAAAGTATTCTACATCCAAGCACTTTTGGAAGCAGAACAATGAGATCTAGGAAGGTTACAGGGCATTGAATTTGCTAGAGCTACACTCAGTTCTAACATGTAGCATACATGCTGATCCCACACGTATGCAACTTGTCCACACATTGTGAACTCTCTATTCTCAGTAGGATGTTAATATGAAAAAGATTGAAGGTAGAATGAGAATGTCACCAATCAGCTGTGACCATGAATCCTTTCTTTTTTTTTTTTAATTTTTCAATATTTATTGTTTAGTTTTCGGGGGACACAACATCTTTGTTTGTATGTGGTGCTAAGGATCGAACCCGGGCCACACACATGCCAGACGAGCGCGCTACTGCTTGAGCCACATCCCCAGCCCCATGAATCCTTTCCCTCTGGCATGGCATATATCAAGGACAAATGCAGTCTGCATAACCCAACTACTACCTTAATGGACAGACTGGGGAACTACCATGTTCTTAAATATACTTAATAAATTCACTTAATATGGCATCACACAAAGATAATGGAAACACAATGTCCTAAGTAGACCACAAACGACACATTGCTGGGAAAGGCTGGAAGACCAGATGGGAAACGGTGACACAGATAATCAGAAGATGGTTGGATGGGCCTGGCATGGCCCAGAGAAAAAAGCCTGTTGGTCATTTCTTCTGAATCCATACGCTGGGGATTCCTCATTTTGAAGGAAGGAAGCAAGAGCCCCAGTGTGGCCAGCAAAAACTTAAAAGCTGGCCTGCACTGAGACCCAGAAAACCATATAAAGCTCCCGAGGCAGGAACAGGCAATAAGCACTTTCAGTTCCTCAAAAAGAAAACTGCTATATAAACACAGGCTATTATCACTACTATGATTTCAAGATAAATACAGCTCTCCTTTGTATTACAAATGCATTTTTATTGACATTTTGGCAGCAAAATGGTACAGAAAAGCAGGTGAGCTGATGCTTTAAAAGCTGTGACCCCAGAGGTATAAAGGCAGCTTATCTAGGCAAGCTGTTAAGTGCTGTTTCTACCAAATATTCTGATAGCAGGAAATAAGAAGAAAGCCCTATAATTAATAGGCAGGGCCTAGCTTTCCTTCGTTGGCTCAGACAATTGTATTCACTTTAAATTTCACACAGTTGCAGCTGGGATGTTGTAATTTTGAAATCACAGGAGTAGGCCAGACCAGCAACTAAAAGCTTGTTAAATGAGTAACCATATTTACGGTGTCGGTTTTTCTCCTGGGTGAAAGGAACCCTTTCTTAACTGGTCAGCCGATCCTGGCATGAACAGCACTTGCAGAATGACCAAGGCAAGAAAGACCTTTCCCAGAAGGATTGGCAAGGGGGTGACGACAGCAGCCCTCTCTCTCAACTGCCATTTGCCCAGATTCCAGGACTCTCTGTCAAATTGAACCAAGTTTCAGTGTTGAGAACAGGAACTTACCCATGTAGAGGATTCCATCTGAACTTCGGCATGGGGATGCCTGTACCAACTCTGGGATGGTAAAGGGAAGTTTCTTTAAAAAAAAAAAAAAAAAAAAA